GAGAGTGAGAGAGGAGAGAGAGAGAGAATTTTTTAATATTTATTTTTTAGTTCTCGGCGGACACAACATCCTTGTTGGCATGTGGTGCTGAGGATCGAACCCGGGCCGCACGCATGCCAGGCGAGCGCGCTACCGCTGAGCCACATCCCCAGCCCTTGAACTGCTTTTTATTTTTGAGACAGGGTCTCACTAAGTTGCCCTGGCTGGCCTTGAATCTGTGGTCCTCCTATCTACAGCCTCCCAAGTAGCTGGGATTATATGCATGTGACACTGTACCTAGCTCCCCCAGTCTGTTCCTATTTCCATCTTATACTAGCACCCATTCTGAAGATTTCCTTCTTTTTCAGCTCTTTGAAAGTTCCTGCCAGCAGTATGACAAGCTATGGAAACGGGGGGCCTTCCTGGAGCAGTTCCGCAAAGAGGACATCTTCAAGGACAATTTTGATGAGATGGACAGGTCCAGGGAGGTTGTTCAGGAGCTCATTGATGAGTACCATGCAGCCACACGGCCAGACTATATCTCCTGGGGCACCCAGGAGCAGTGATTTTCCTCTCTGCTCTTCCCCCCATGTACAGGAAGCACAGCCACCACCATGACTGGTCCCTCTGATCCAACTTTACCTTACTGGATTCCTCTCCTCCCCAGAAACTGGCCCAACTTCCTCCCTTCCATTCCTGACCCTTGATATGCTTGTTCAGTTCAAATAAAGTTATAAAGCTTAGAGATGAATATAGTCAGGGCTTGATCTGTCACTATGGGGGATGGGATCTTCAGTTTTCTGGTGAGTGATGGTAAGGTTGCCTTCATTTCCTCTAACTTCTTCCTACTTAGTCCAGGTCTTAGTATGTCTATTTCTATTGAGGTTACTTGCCTTGAACCAGGCTGTTATACTGAAGTTGGCCAACTTCATCCCCTGGAGCCCAACCAGCTTTCATGTAGAGAGGGTTAGTGAGGTCTGCTGTCTCCTTAGTGTTTAAGTTCCTGCTTCAGATTGAATCAATGCTGATCCAGTCTCCTCCATTCAGCAAGGAGGATGTGGGGTCTATGAAAGTAGGGCCTATTTCATTCTGAGCAAGTCAGAAAAGCTGGAACTCTGGATGCCCAGGGCCATCAGGATCTCAGGAACTCAACCCAGTTCAACCCAATGTGATAAGCAGGACAGAACTTAGGAGTAGGCTGTACTCATCCTGAGTTCTTTTTCTGTGCCAGAGGAATGTCTGGGTCTATATCCTGCCTCAAGCTTCTCTCCATTTCAAGCCCAAAGCAGTAAGCAGAACAAAGATGAACCCAAACAGGATCAGAAGCTGGACACCAGGGTAGAATATGGGCAGAGACAGTCTTAATGACTCACTGCCCTCCAGCTTCAGGGATACCATGGGGCCACCCCTTTGCCACTGGATGGAGAAGAGAGGGTGAGTAATTGCCAGCTTCCAATTCTGTCTTCTTGCCTGCCCCACCCATTACTCTATAGCAGCAAACTGGCTAAGAGGAGGTTAAATCCAGAAGGTCAAGGAGGGTGGAGCTCTATGGTGTCCAGACTCCCTTCAGTGTCTGGTAAAACCCCCAGAGTGTGGGTGTCCCCAGGGGTGGAGCTGTGAGCTATGGAGCTCCAACTTGTCCCATTGAAAACACTCCCACAAGAAGGGTTTGTGTAAATAAGGATTTTTTTTTTTTTTGCTTCTCTTCTACAAATAAATTAAGAAACAAACTATAAAATTGTCCACACCCATTTCAGACCTTGGGTGTGGGGTCTGTGCCCTGTCCCTGCAGGGCCAAAAGGGTCCATGGTCTCCTCAAATCTCAGAGTAGTCCTGGCCCAGGCTGGAGGGAAGAGGGGAGTCATGACCTCTTGGCAGGCTCAGTCCTGCAGCTGCCCCAAGAAGCCAGACTGTCCCTGGGGCTCATCCAGGCCTTGGTGCTGGCTGGGAGGGGAGGTGTCTGGCAGGTCTTGGCATGGAGGAGCAGAGCTGCCGCAGGGCCTCTCGGGGGAGGGGTTGGCCAAGTAGGCATTCACCAGCTGCATGATCTCTTCCACCTAAGAGAGAGCAGAGGTCAATGCACAACAGGAGCCACTAGGTTCTCTTCTTTCATTCAGGCTCTAGGGCTCCAGCTTCTCTACCAGGGTCCTTCAGGTTCTGGCTCCTGACAACCTTACCCATCCTCACCATCCTACTAGGAATTGAGCCCAGGGGAGTTTTACCACTAAGCTATACCCCCACCCCTTAAGTTTTTGAGATAGGGCATCACTAAATTGCTGAGGCTGGCCTCAAACTAATGATCCTCCTGTCTCAGCCTCCGGAGTCTCTGGGATTACAAGTGTGCACCCCTGTGCCCAAATCATTCTTGTTTCTTTCTGCTCCTCTACCATGCCAAGTATACTTTCCTCTCTTGGCTTTTGTACTTACAATTCCCTTTATCTGGAATGCTATTCCCCTAGATTTTCCTATGGCTAACTTATGTCATCCTCTTTGAGAATCTGGCTCTGACTACCTAATGCTTGGCCCCTACAGTTACTTCCCATCATACTACTCTTTCCTTCTAGCTTAATGATCTTTGATTACTTGTTGATTGTCTGATTCCCACACTCAAAGCTCCTAGGAGCTTGTCTTTGATCATAGCTGGCTTCCCAGTGCCTCGAGCTGTACCCAGGATTGATGGTCCATAGATTGTTCTGTGCTTGCCTCTTCCTACTCACCTGGGGACTCTGCAGGAGGAGCTGACTCTCGCCTACCCTCAATGCTAGGGTTTGGGGACCCATTAGCTGGCAGGCGGCCACATGACCATAGCTGACACTGTGGATGGGTTCTGTCTCACCAGGCCGGGAGAGGGACATGGTCTTGGCTCCCAGACCCAGGCATAGCTTCTGTGGAGCACCTCCACCAGGTTCCTGCAGACAGATAGGCAGAGTCAGGGGGGAAGGAGAGGACAGCATTCTTTTTGGTGGGGGAAAACGGTTGTGAGCGGGGGAGTTCCCTGATCCCTCTGTGATACACAGTGAAGTATGAAGGGGGCTAGGGTCCAGGAGGTGCAAGCCCCCTAGGGCTGGTGTCTCCTGGGATTTGGAAGTAGGAAGTGAAGTGACCCACAGTGGGGGCCTATGGCTCTGGGGCAAAGGTGTGGGGCTTGGGCCTCCAGAGTCCCCTTCTCCCTTCTCCCCCTCACCGTGCTCAGCTCCAGAACGTCATACCGAGCAGCGCCGAACCCCGGACACTGCGCCGCCAGAGCCAGGTAGGCAGCCATGGCCTCAGCTCGGCCCATGCCCCGTAACCGCTTCCAGCCGCCCAGCACAGCAGCAGCGGTGCGGGCGCCTCCGCCTCCTCCCTCCGGGGCTGCGCTTCCCGCTGTGCGGCAGGCCCCACTGCGTCGAGCCCGCTCCGCCCGCCTCTTGGCCAGGCTGGGGCTCCAGAGTGCCCCGGCCAGCAGGGCGGCTGAGGGCGGTGGCCTGGGAGTTGGGCGGGGCTGAACTTCGCACGGCGGGATGGGGGGCGGCAGCAGGCGGTCTAGGCGAGGCAGGGGCACCCGCGGGGAGAAGTCTCGGTGCAGGCTCTGCAGGCGCAGCGCCGCCAGGGCGCGCAGCGTGTCGTCGGGCGGTGGCGGCCGGCTGCGCAACAGCAGAGCATGAGCCTGCAAGGAAGGCACCGGGCGTCAGCCAGCAGTGGCAACTATACTGTCGCGAATACACCTCGGAGGGTGGAGCCTGAGAAGTTAAGGGTTTGGGGACAGTCTACCGTGGGGTTACCAGAACGATTAATTGAAATGGCCTAGAAAGAGATCAGGCATAGATGGTATATTCCGAGGCGTGAATGTCGGAGATCCTCACCTGCTCAAAGAGGAAAGGCAGTTCGTGACCGTCTGGGGATAGTCCCTCAGGATGCAGAGGTCCGTGAAGACGCAGACACAGTCTCCACCCGGAGTCCAGCGAGTCTTCCAGTCCGGCTTCCTCTGAGGCTAAACTGCAGAAGGAAAAAGAACACGAGGCAATGGGGAAGCAGGGCCCAGCAGAGTGCTGGCGACTTGGGAAAGGGGCAGGACAAGTGTGGGGGCGTGGCCATATGTTTTGGGCGGGGCGGGGGGGGGCCCAAGAGTGGCCCGCAGAAGTGAGTTTAGAAATCAGATTACACACAGACTGCGGATAGGGAGTCTGTCTGTAACTTAGAACAAATGCTAAGTGCTCAATAAATGTTTGCTTAGTGATTTAAGCTGGGGAGACGGGTTAATAGAACAGTTCTGGGCTGGACATTTACTTCTCAAACCTGGTGAGCACGTCGGCCACGAGGGTCCCCCCAGCCAGCGCTCGTTCCTGGGCGCCGCGCTGTTCGTACAACGCAAAGACGTTGCGGCTCCGGGCCAAACCCAGCCGCCCCACCAGCTCTCGAGCCACCTAGAAGGAAGAGAGGAAGAGGGTCTTGTCTGGATCCTCAGGCATACGGATCCAACTGATACCACCATTATACCACTTATAGAAATAAGGAATCAGAGACTAGGACCAACCCAGGGTTCAGGAGAAGCAGGTATGAGAACTTAGAAGGAAGGGTTGGGGATACCCTGGAACTTTGGCCTCACCTCCCCTGCTGTCGTGTGAGAGTCAATGGCCACAGAGCAGGCACCAGCCCCTGGACAGTGCACCGTGCACAACAGCTCCTGTCGTTGGCTCAGTGCGGAAATCTCTGCCAGCGATGGCACCAGCTCTCTGCCACGTGTCCGGCCCAGAGCTTTCCTGATGAAGCGCGCATATTCCGCTAGTTCCGAGTCCGGCAGTGCCTGCTCAGTCCTGTATTAGGAGAAATCACAGGATCAGTGCTCCAAGGGCTTTCCTCCTCCTCTTATTCCTCCTCCCACCCTCTTCCCTTCTTGTATTAATATTTTATTTCATCTAGTAAAACTCCTTCCCTCCAATTCAAGTTTCTTGAAGGCAGCCTATCTCCGGGGCTTTGCATGGAGCTAAATTAAATTACTTTCGGATGTCTTCTGGCAGCTTTCTCCCAACTGTCCCCACCCACTTCCGAAAATCTCCTGATCTTCCCCACTGAAATCCAAAATTGAACCACATTACTGTGCTTTCCTAAGCCCTGGTACTGGTCAGCATTACCGAAGAAAAGCAGACTTTTTATAATTCCTCTGCCCAAAGGGGGTGCCTTATTGTAATTCATTTGCTCACCAATGGGATATGATCTTGCAATTCCTACAAAAGCAGGGGATTTATCCCTTCTCTGCATCTAGGTTCTCTATCTGTCAACCCCCTTGCAAAGGCCTTTAGTTCTCTCCCAGCCCAGAAACTCCTTTGCCTTGGCCTTACACATTTTTCTTTCTTCTCACCTCTCCAAATGCCCTAGGAGGTGCCCCCGAACAGCTCCCCCAGGCCGGAAGGTGCAGCTCATGCAGGTGAGGAGCTGCCAGTACCGCAGGGTTGCAGGGTCTTGGGTAGCAGGGAGCCCAGGAGGACCTGCAGGGCCTGAGGTCTGCTTAGCCAGCTGCAGGAAGAGTTCATCCCGGAGTGCAGGCAGGTCCCGACAGGTTTGGAGCACACCCTGCATCAGGGGCCCAGGGCGCCTTGCCCCCTCCAGTGCCTGGAGCGCAAGGAACAGCCTTACCGCCTCCTCTCTCAAGGGTGCATAGCCAGGACCTGTGGGAGGGTGGGGGTGGAGGGACGGTTTGGAGAGGGGACACAGAGGTGCACCCTGGGAGGAAGGTGCAAACCAGGGAAAGGTCAGGAGTATAATGGGAA